GTTGATTGCATTATAATACTCTAATTTTTTGTGTTATTAATCCAAAAAGTTACAAGTTGTAAATGACCCAAATTAGATTTGGTTTAAAGAATACAAATTATTTTTTTTAAAAAAAACTTGCTTGTTTTATTTTTGCAACATGAAGTAGCAAATTATTTTTTGATTATACAAAGATATAATTTATATACAATCAAATGTGACATATGAAAAACATAATAACTTTATTTTCAGAAAATGTTGTTTTTACAAAAAAAAAACAACAAATTACAATTGCTAAATTTGCTTAGAAAAAGAATGCAATGATTGCAAAAGCAAACAGAACAAAAGTGAGAACAGATGAATCTGGGGTTAATGATTCATAACAAGCAGTATAAACATCAGAAGTACACTTATTGCATTCTACCTTATTCGGAGTTTCTGTTTGTTTTGTGCAAGTAGCATCGCTATAAACAGCTAGAGACCACTTTTTAACACCGGATTCATTAAGAATAATAGCCTTTTTGTATTTTTCACCATCTTTATAGCAGACATCGTTTTTATAAACACCAGCCATCTTTTTGTCCTTGTTTGGGCAACTAGCTTTTTTTTCAGCAGTAAAGACGACTTTTTTTGTAAATTTGGCATCAATAGTTTTCTTCCATTTGGAGTTTTTATCTTCAAATTGAATGTTTTCTGTTGCTGTAGAACCAGGTTTCTTGCATTCAACGTCGGTGAAATATTTTCGGGTGTAAACTTTAGAGGCAACAGTAATTTGGAAAAATTCGCTATCTTTAGTCATGTAACATGTATCAACATCATATCTCTCATAGTCTATGACATTGGTTGATTTGGTGTTTACGTTGTAGTAAAGGGTTTCGCTTAAAGCAACAACAAAAAAGAGAAATAACATTGAATTTGAAAGTCTTAAATAAATACTTTTATATGTCAATTAAAAAAGATTTTCTTATTTGATGATACGAAACGTATCATTTTCTTGTAGTTTTTTTAAATTGATTTGTTTCAAAACTACTGCCTATTTTGAAAAACAATCGGTTTTAATAATGTTTTGGTTGCCAACGTATCCTTTTAATTAAACAATACAAAAATTAGTTCGAAAATAAATAATTATGTAAAAACTTCAAAAATGTCAAATAAAAAATACTGTTCAAATATAAATCAAACAAATTTTTAATAATTTGCATTTTCCATTAATTAAACAATGTTTTTGAAAATATTTGTACAATTATTATAATTGTTTATTTTATTATTTATATGTTTATGTATACCGTAAATCCGGAAATAAATGGTTCACCATTTCCAAAACAATTAAAAAAAACTAAAATTTCAAATTTGATTCTTTTTTAAAAAGATACTAAAATAATAACATTTTTAAATTCCCAAAAATGCAGAATGTGCTTTTTTGACTCAACACTTTTCAAAAAAAGACCAATAAACCACCAAAAGTATCTTTGAAAAATGTTATTTGGGTGTGTAATCCCCAGAACAATAATTCACTATTTAAGAACGCATGAAAAAGGTTTAATTATAAAGCCCAAACATCCTTTTGATACTAAGTTTCTTCCATTTTCAGTTTAACAAGAATGAATTTATGTTAGATAAGGCACATTAATCAAAGAAAAAGAAGGGGTGTTTAAAATGTGTGATTTATTAGCAGACGTCTCCAAAATCGTATGCCTAAATCCACGCGTCATCACTTTTTAACCAAAAAAGAAATTTGCTCATATGAACATGAGTTTATAGTCATTCTCATCTCTTTTTTACCTTCTTTTTGGACAACACGATTTTGGAGACCCCTGTTTATTAGAATTGTAAACAAATACCACATTATGTTTTAATAATCAAATACATCATTTGCAAAAACGAACCTCTTTCTTAAAAAGTAACACAGTAGAAATTCAAAACGAAACAGTTCTCAGAACAAAGACAAACTTTGACAAAACGATAATTAATTTTCCGCCACATTTCAAAAAAATAAATACCTGTCAACGATGGGAAAAACGTTTTCTTTCAAATTGCAAAAATTCGATCTTTCAGAGAGTTGATTGAAAGTGGTAAAAGCAAAAGGAAGCAGCAACTATTTTGGAATAAATTTA